TTCTGGGTGAATTGAATTGGATCTTTACAGCGGTAACTGGTACAATTGCCTGGAATGTTCTTCCTCATGGTAGGTCTCAACCCTCCCCATGCTTCTGCTGACTTGTTAAATTACCATTGTGTTTTTCTTTAACTCCAGTTATATAGCAAGCATTTTTTTGTTGATATCATTTTATCTTATATTGATAATTTTTGTCCTGCAGATCTTTTTCAAAGATTATTCAGACAGGATTTGCTTGTTGCAAGTTTGTTTCGAAATTTTCTACTTGCTGAGCGAATCATGCGATCTGCAAATTGTTCTCCTGTCTCTCACCCAATGTTACCTCCAACCCATCAGCATCATATGTGGTATTGTTGGCTATTATTGTTCAAGGTTATCAAAAAACCGTTATAACGCCGCTATAACGGTATGGTGGGGCGGTTTTGGGCCTCGCCGCCATTCGCCATCCGCAAAATGGCGTTTTGTGGCGCCGTCCGCCATTTTCGCCGTGGCGGCCGCCATTTCCGTTTTGACCCATAACGCTATAAAGGTGATAGCGGACGTAACGGGTCTGGGGCCAGTTTTGGGCTTCAAACTAGGCCCAACAAGTATGCCCTAATGGTTTTAGGGTTCAAGAATTAGAAGCCACGACAGCCACCACCCAAACTCAGCTCATCTACCTTCAACCCGTCTCCGATGACGTTCCTCCGCCGTCACCCACCACTCGCCGATCATCTCTCTGATTGACGACTTGAACCGCGGTGGTCCACGACTCCGACGACTTGAACCACAACGCGCGCATGAATAGGACCTATGAAATTCGAAACCACCTTTGATCACTGTCGTTCACCGTCGCCCACCACTCCTTGGTCACGTTTTTGGCCGGCGACCTGAATCGTGGTGGTCTTGCACTCCGGTGAACAACTCCGACGAGCAACTCCGGCGAGTTAAAACCTAACAGTTTTTTTTCCTCCAGTTTTAATCCTCCTTCTTCCTTTATTTTTTCCTACTCCTTTGAGTCCTTTCTTCATTTTTAATGAGTTGGTTGCTGCATCTGCAACAAGAAGCTTTTTTAATCTTAATTCTTCTACTAATTGGGTCAATTTAAATTTCTATTTTTTTTATAACTTCTAAACTAATATTGAGTTCCTATTTTATTATTGTTCCTATTTTATGAAGAGAATGATTACATTGAGGAAGAGGAGGAGAATGATGATGATGATGAGGATGATTAGATTAGCAAAATGCTTCTTGTACTCTTGTTTTTCTATGTTTTTTGTTGTGTTTTAATCAATTATGTTATGAGACTTAATGAATTATGGTATTGTTGTTATGATATTTAAGTATTTAAGTTGATATTATGTTGCTTTTAATTTAGTTTTGTTACTTGTTATTTATTGTTTTGCTATTTTCTTTGTATATAATATATATAAATATTTTTATTATTAATTTTTTTTTGTCCGCCATGACGTCCGCCATAGGCCGCCATGGCATCCGCCATAGAGTTATAAAGGATTTTTGGCCTCACCGCCATAGACCGTTATCCGCCATCGATAATCTTGTTATTGTTATGATATTGCTTCATGTGTTGTCAAATTTTGTCAGCTGTTTGTTTTTATCCACACTACAGGGATGCATGGGACATGGCTGCTGAGCTCTGCCTCTCTCCACTTCCGTCTTTAGTCGAGGATCCTCACGCTGAATTTCAGGTATGTTTTTTTTAATTATTTTTTTACTTTTTTTTATAATATCTCTGATGTAAGGTTCTTTGAAATTATTGAATAATAAAAATTGGCCAAGGCATTCTGGTTTGACAAGGAATATTGGTAATACTAAGGATTATTTATAAGTTTTGAGCTTACCTGATGAAGCATGTGGTCATTCTCTTTCAGCCTAGTACATTTTTCACTGAGCAGCTGACAGCATTTGAGGTATGGCTTGACCATGGTTCTGAACCTTTATGAACTAAGGAATTTCACTAACACGACCAATAGCCAACTGAATGTTTCATTCAAAATAAAGATCTTTTAGTAGGATATTGAATAATTGGGGAATATCATATTGGCCCTACCAATATTTGGAATAGGGAAAAAAATAGAGAGGAAAAAAAATTCAAGGAACAAAACTTCAAAGTTCAAAATCAAAGACTTTAAAAGTTTTCCCTCCATTACAAATTTTCTCCCCTCCCCTATTTTATTTCCTCTTCTCTGGTCCAAACAAAGGGTAAATTCTTCGTTCCCTATCTTCCTTATTTTCTACACTTCATCTATCATACTACTTTTCTTGGCTTGTCCAGCACCACACACACAGCATGTTTATATACTGCAATAACTACAATAAAAGCAACCTTAACTGTCAAAACCAAATTTTCCATATGATTTAATGCATGTTTGGTTGGGATTAATTTTGGAGAAATAATCAATTAATCACATTTTTTAACAGTTCTCTGATGAAGCTGACAAAAATGAACAATTATTCTCTAAAATAAAATAAACCAAACATGCACTTACATACATTTTAAGCAAAACTTGTGTAATAAACATTTTCTTAAAAGACAATTATCCTCCTCCAAAAGTACCTTATCAAGTGCAAGAATCTTTGTCCATATGAATACAAGGATCTGACGTAGTTCTGGTGTTGTTGTTTGTAACAGCTTTAGAACATAAGGAAATATTCCAACAGATAATGCCTACATATGAAGAACTTGGTATCAAGTTATCATATCATAAACCTTTTCTAAATAAATATGTAAAACAATTTCAACATAAGTTGATGAATCGAGAGAACAATTACCAGATCTACAGCCCATTGCCCCATATCAAGGAACCTTCCAAGGAGTACTAAAGCCCGAAACCGATGGCATTGACTAAGTAAAACCTGAAATAGGAACAATGCTACTTATCAATGAACACAATAGACAAGAAATATCAACCAACAACTGAAAAAGAAATGAAAAAATAATTTTCTCTCAAGTATAAAATATAACTATTGTGAAAAAGGAAAAACTAATAACTCAAAAGTTCATAAAAAACGATGACACTTCATTTTGCAAATGAGATTTTACAACACAATTGTCAATTGGTCACTATATATCTAAGACTCCCAACACCTGTTTTCATAAAAATCATGTAGTCTACCTAACAACAGTATTATGGACCAACACAATGGCTCATTAGGAAACAAAAACTGAGACATGAATCAAACCTGAAGAACTATAGGCAACTGCTCTGGTGGTTTCTTATGTTCAGAACCATGGTCAAGCCATACCTCAAATGCTGTCAGCTGCTCAGTGAAAAATGTACTAGGCTGAAAGAGAATGACCACATGCTTCATCAGGTAAGCTCAAAACTTATAAATAATCCTTAGTATTACCAATATTCCTTGTCAAACCAGAATGCCTTAGCCAATTTTTATTATTCAATAATTTCAAAGAACCTTACATCAGAGATATTATAAAAAAAAAGTAAAAAATAATTAAAAAAAACATACCTGAAATTCAGCGCTAGGATCCTCAACTAAAGACGGAAGTTGAGAGAGGCAGAGCTCAGCAGCCATGTCCCATGCATCCCTGCAGTGTGGATAAAAACAGGATGATTAGATTAGCAAAATGCTTCTTGTACTCTTGTTTTTCTATGTTTTTTGTTGTGTTTTAATCAATTATGTTATGAGACTTAATGAATTATGGTATTGTTGTTATGATATTTAAGTATTTAAGTTGATATTATGTTGCTTTTAATTTAGTTTTGTTACTTGTTATTTATTGTTTTGCTATTTTCTTTGTATATAATATATATAAATATTTTTATTATTAATTTTTTTTTGTCCGCCATGACGTCCGTCATAGGCCGCCATGGCATCCGCCATAGAGTTATAAAGGATTTTTGGCCTCACTGCCATAGACCGTTATCCGCCATCGATAATCTTGTTATTGTTATGATATTGCTTCATGTGTTGTCAAATTTTGTCAGCTGTTTGTTTTTATCCACACTACAGGGATGCATGGGACATGGCTGCTGAGCTCTGCCTCTCTCAACTTCCGTCTTTAGTCGAGGATCCTCACGCTGAATTTCAGGTATGTTTTTTTTAATTATTTTTTTACTTTTTTTTATAATATCTCTGATGTAAGGTTCTTTGAAATTATTGAATAATAAAAATTGGCCAAGGCATTCTGGTTTGACAAGGAATATTGGTAACACTAAGGATTATTTATAAGTTTTGAGCTTACCTGATGAAGCATGTGGTCATTCTCTTTCAGCCTAGTACATTTTTCACTGAGCAGCTGACAGCATTTGAGGTATGGCTTGACCATGGTTCTGAACATAAGAAACCACCAGAGCAGTTGCCTATAGTTCTTCAGGTTTGATTCATGTCTCAGTTTTTGTTTCCTAATGAGCCATTGTGTTGGTCCATAATACTGTTGTTAGGTAGACTACATGATTTTTATGAAAACAGGTGTTGGGAGTCTTAG